GAGAAGGACCCCGACGTGTGGTTTGGGGGTGGCCCTGGGGTCAGGGAGGTGCCGTGTGCTGGCCTGGTGACGCCCCGGGAAGAGGTGGCCGAGCTGTGAACCACAGGATAACGCTGCTCATGTCACAGAGTCGGGACAAAATCCTTCCCTCTTCAGACAGGAACTCCTGCTCCCCCTCCCCCCCGCCCTCACCTTTCACACATAGTGACAAGCAGCCGGTGCCCCTGCAGTTAGTGCCTGTAGCACCTGGCATCCACAGAGGGGGCAGAGTTAAGGGCATTGGCACCCATCGGAGCCCAGCCTGGCCCCCTAACCACCAAACTGTCCCTCATCTACGTCAGCCCCTGTCGGCCTCCCCGGCTGTGTTCTCTGGCCCACCGGAGGCGGCTTTGTGCCACTCCACAGAGGGCGACTTCGACCCCCATGTGCCGTAGGGCACCTGTGGTCGCCCAACTTCCGCTCAGTCCAGGGGCTTTCTCTCTCCCGGGGGCTCTGCTCCTCTGCCCCTAATGCCCCCCTTTCCCCAGAGGGTCCGGACTGAGCGGGGCCATGGGGGCACTGGCAGTGACAGCCCTTCCTGACAGCTCCCACAGGTTCTGCACAATCTCCACTCCCATTTCAAACTACAATAAAACTCCTGGCTCTTCCAGTGGCCATGAAAACCTCCCAGCTGTGACCTTAATGGGGTGGGGGAGGGTTCTCACTGGCTACAACCAGCCTGAGCTGACAGCCCTGCGAGGGCTGAGCTGCCCCATTTATCTCAATGGGCGTGTTAACTCTGAACCCTAATGATGGTGATGGCACACATTGACCTTGCTCAGTATGTCACCGCTGAACATTTTAGCAGAAGCCTCTGGTTTCTTTGGCATTGTGGGTGAGGCTTGGGGACAGCCCTGCCCCACTGCTCTGACCCCCATGGCTGCTGCATCCCCTTTTCCACTGACTCTCTGCAAGCACTATCGCTAGGGGTAGCACAGGGGGGTTAAGAATAGGGGTATGATTGGAGATGGGGGCTCAGCCCGACCCATGGGGGCAAACCCTCCTCCCCGGAGTAAAGGGATAAGAGGCTCTTTATTTTGTCTTTCCCGCTGGTCCAGAGCCCCACAGCTTGGACATCCTGATCACCGGGCTGAACGAGCCGGACGGGACTCACAGGTTCTTCATGCTCGCCAGGCTGGATGGGCTGGCGCTCGCCTCCTACAGCAGCGACACCCGCGAGGTGAAACCCCTCAGGGAGTGGGCAGCGCAGGCCGTTGGCGCGAGCTATTTAAGGAAGAAGACGCAGGAGTTCAGGCTCTATGAGGCCATCTCCCGAGTGGTGACTCACCGCTGGATGGCGCAGCAAAATCAGACCGGCGGTGAGTGCTGCCCCCGCGCCGAGCTCCCAGCGCCCGCAACCTCACCGCCGGCAGCCCCAGGCCGTGGGAACTTGCACGAGATTTCCAGCCCTGATTGGCTGCCCTTCCCCACTGCCCCGCCTCCGGGGGTAGAGCAGCCAATCAGGGCAGCTGCAGGAGCATGGCCAAGTTCTTGCTCCCTAGAGTCAGGTCTCGGTGGCCCCAGGCTGGCTGGGAACCAGGCCCCAGGGGGGTGTCTGTGCGGTGACTTATCCCGCTCGGTAAGTACCCGCATGGGCGGGATTTCTGAGCGCAGACGGCACTTTAATCCCAGACGCTGCCGAGTGAGAGCCAGGGGCTGGCGGCTGCAGCGAGACAAACTCAAAGGGGCTAATTTGAACCGGGGGTAACTCCCGCTGGGATCAGCTCAGCCACGGTTGCGGGGGATTCTCCGTGGAGGCCGGATGCCCCGTTCTGGAGTTAGATCAGGAGCTCTCTGCGGGAATGCCGGGGTGCGCCCGATGCCCTGTGTGAGCTGGGCCCAGTCACTCTGGAGCTCTGGGCCTCAGTTTCCCCATCTGTGACCCAGGGACAATGGCCCAGCCCTGTGGCAAAGGGTGATGGGATACGTGTGTTAGGGCTGGGGAGGGGCTCGGGCACTGCAGTGATTGGGATGGACGGACACTTAGACAATATCCTGCACCGTTTTTCCTCCCTGTCTCTCCCCCAGGGATCCACACCCTGCAGCTGCACGTGAACTGTGCGCTGGACGGGGACACCCCCGTGCGAGGGCAGTTTCACTTTGCTTTCGACGGGCAGGATTTCCTCATCCTGGAGAGAAACCAATCCGCGTGGGTGCCGCTGGCGCCGGGAGCCTCCAACGAGACGCACTTCTGGAACGCTGGCCACACCTGGACCCTGTTTGCAAAGGAGTTCCTGCAGGAGGAGTGCGTGGACACCCTGAAGAGCCTGCTGCGGGGCGGGATGGAGGCTCTGGGACGGCAGGGTGAGTCCGAGCAGCCGGCGGCACGGGCCGGAGGGAACCACAGAGCGCCCCTCTCTCGTTCCCGTGACCGCTAGTCCTCAGGGCTTTGCCAACCGCTCCGCACTGGCTCAGGGCTGATTGCACCCCGCTGACGTGTTCCCCTCCCCTCCAGTCCCCCCAGGGATCTCGGTGACCTACAGAGACGCCCCTGCCGGCTCCGCCACCCTCTCCTGCCACGCCAGGGGCTTTTACCCCCGTCCCATCCACGTCTCCTGGGTGCGGGACGGGGCGGAGATCCTGCCGCCCATGAACGCCAGCGGGATCCTGCCCCACGCCGACGGCACCTACCAGATCCGGCAGTCCCTGGAGATCCCCCCGCGGTGGGGCCACGGCTACGCCTGCCGGGTGAACCACAGCAGCCTGGGGGAGCCGGCGCCCCCCACGGGTAAGGGGGGCGAATGGTGGAACCCGGGGAGGGCAGTGCCCCCCAGGAGCGGGCGCTCGGCAGTGCTGTCTGCGTGTCCTGGTCTGCACCAGACAGCGCCTTGCACCTTGTGAGTAGCGCCCTTCGAAAAGCAGCTCCGGGACCCCCTAGCGTGGATGTCCTGAGACGGGGCTCCCCACCGCTGCCCCCCTTTGCGATTGTAGCCGAGGGCTAAGCCGGCCGGGAAGCCCGTCGCTCCCGTGGGGCGTCTCAGAGCCAGGCCAGGCCGAAGGCGCCTCTTCTCTTCGGCCGATCAGTCCCCTGGGGGGCAGTAACACGGTGAAGACAAACGTCCGACGCATGGATGGAGTCGATAATTGTACCACGTGTAACTAGCAGTAACGCTCCCGTCTGGGCAGCGCCTGGGGCAGTGTTAGCAGCCGTGATGTTCCCTTTCTCTGCTTCCGCTCCGCAGGGCTGACAGTGCAGCTCGTGGTGCTAAAACCGTGGGGCAGTCATGGCCCGAGCGCCAGTTCTGGGGGCAGTGGGGGAGCCCGGGGCTGCAGGGCTGAATCTCGCTTGGAGTCTGGGAGCGGAGTTACATCTCTTCCCCCCTTCGCAGGCCGTTTGGCTCGGTGTGAGGCCGTCAGGACGTGTCGCTCTCTAACCCTTCGGTGCAAACACGTCCGTGTCCTGTAACCATGAAACGGGGGGTTTGGAGGCCGCGCTTCCCCCTAGGTCCAGACACCACAGCAAGAACTTAACGTTCAGAGCAGAACAAATTTACTGTGTCTCCTTTTCTCTCCCCCCATAGCCCTGCCCGAGGTCTCGGTTTCCCGCAGAGACACCCCCGACGGCTCCGCCACCCTCTCCTGCCGCGCCAGGGGCTTTGACCCGCGTCCCATCCGCATCTCCTGGGTGTGGGACGGGAAGGAGACCCCGGCGCCCCCCATTGGCGACGCGTCCCAGCTCCAGAGATCCGTGGGGATCCCGCAGCAGGGTGGGGATGGGCACAGCTACTCCTGCCGCGTGCAGCACCGCAGCCTGCAGGAGGCGCTGGCGACCCCGGGTAATGGGCTCTCTCGGGGCAGGGGGAGGGGTGGGACCCCCGCTGGCGCTGGCACCGTTCCCGATCGGGTCTCCAGCGTGAGCTATTGCCGAGCACGTCCGGCTGCATCTCCTGCCCGGGGCGGGGACTGGATTGATGCCCATGGATGTGGCAGCAGGAGCCAGGTGACCCATCACCCACGGCCCCCACGCTGTGCCCACCCACCTAGCCCCATTGGAGGCCCCCGACAGCTGGGCCTCTCGAGGACTCCATCCTTGCTGCCTCAGAGCTAACCCCCTGCACCCCACTCCCCTCCCAGAGCTGGGGAAAGAACCCAGGAGTCCTGGCTCCCAGCCCCCCTGCTCTAACCCACCCGCCCCCACTCCCCTCCCAGAGCCGGGGATAGAACCCAGGAGTCCTGGCTCCCAGCCCCCCCTGCTCTAACCCACCCGCCCCCACTCCCCTCCCAGAGCCAGGGAGAGAACCCAGGAGTCCTGGCTCCCAGCCCCCCCTGCTCTAACCCACTAGTCCCCACTCCCCTCCCAGAGCTGGGGAGAGAACCCAGGAGTCCTGGCTTCCTGCCCCCCTGCTCTAACCCACCAGCCCCCACTCCCCTCCCAGAGCCGGGGAGAGAACCCAGGAGTCCTGGCTTCCTGCCCCCCTGCTCTAACCCACTAGTCCCCACTCCCCTCCCAGATTTGGGGAGAGAACCCAGGAGTCCTGGCTCCCGGCTCCCAGCCCCCGCCCCTGTGACGTTATTGACATAAACTGGGACCATATAGATCATTGTTGCAA